CAAACACTATGTTACTTAACTGTCACGTCTTTTTGGGGAATTATTGATCTATAGGAGGCGGCAACGATTGAACTAAACAAACTGAAAAAAAAAATTGCTACTGAGGCCACTAATAAGCCTACTTGGCTGTGCACCAAACCATTGCGCACTAAAGGCGATTATAGCTTCAATTATTCCAAAGACAAATCCCGTTAACACAAAGATTCAAATCAAGTTACATGGGCAAGTGAGCACTGAGTTTATTATAATTATCGTTCATTTTATTATTAAAACTACACTCGAGCCAACTTGTAAGGCTTGTTAGGTTTGCAAATGACGTTGAATTTTGGAAAGCTGTGTACATAGACAGAACGGTAGCAACAGAACACTCTGCTTTTCATAAACGCATTTGACACGGACTACAATACGGTACACAAAAAAACAAAAGAATGGAGAAAAACTGGAAGTGGTGGATCTTAGTGGCTATTATAATCATAGTATTGGGCTTATAGGAAACATCTTTGTGCTGATCATAGTCCTTAAGAGAAACACCAGGAAGACAGTCCACGGAATATTTGTCACGTGTCTGGCAGTGGCGGATTTGGTTTTGCTCTGTTTTGACTCGCCTATCTCCATTCTAGAAAGATTTGACGTTATTGATATTTCTGTGACATTCAACTGCAGGGTTAATTTCACGGTGGTGGCTTCAGTAGGCTACAATGCGGGGCTTTTTACCATCACATCCATGGCGATGCATCGATGCCACATTGTGACTCATCCGTGGAGACCAAAGCTAAAACGTAAAGGAGCAATGATATGGGTGTCGCTAATATGGCTGGCAGCTTTTATTTTGATTATTCCTCTCGTGGTGGTTAATAAACCAACGGAAAACGGCTGCGAAGAAATTTGGCCCACGCCTGGTCACAGCCAAGCGTACACTGTCTCACTCATGACAATTCAATACATAATGCCGCTACTCATTACAGCGATTTGTTATATACGAATATGGCTGTTTTTGAAAAGCCGACCTGTTTTGCCCAATAACAGTGGTTTAACACCTACCAGGGAAACTCCTGGAGAAGAAAACACAAGAGAAAGCATTGTAATACTCAAGACTGTTGCAGTTATCGTTTTATTGTTCTTGGTCTTTTTATTGCCAACTCAAATGGCTTGGATATTGTTAGATTTCAGAAATATTTCCTCCGATGAGCTTTGGTTTGCTTCTGACATACTAACAAGGCTGCATAGCTGCATAAACCCAGTTGTTTATGGAGTTATGAACAAACATTATCGTCGTAGTTACGTCACATTTTTATCGCGCATGCTCGGCTGCAGTCGCTCGTCACTTACTGAGCAGTCACCACCACAAATACCACTGGATCATCACGTGATAAGTCAAGCAGTCAATAATGACGATCAGGGCCAACAAATGCCACAGTATCCTCAACATGGGAATTGATGTTGCATCGCTATCAGCAACTTGATCGAAGGTCACTTTTTATGCTTACAAGGGTCCTAGCAGAATTGGAAAGGGACTCTCGATAGCTGGGCCTTTGTGTATCTGACTCTAATTCTTCAGTGTTGTGGAAAACAAGCAAGCATCAAAATGACGATCAATTTACCGAAAAAATTTGTTAGACATTTTCGTAACAGATCACATGTAATGGCGTTTTAGAACATCAAGATTACAAAATGTTCTGGAAGGGGTGGGGGCATCCAGTATGTGCTTTCATTCACGGTCGTGATTCTTTCATTTTATTATTTTATTTTTCTTACGATAAACGAGGGATTTGCTAGGTGATTGTGAGACCCTCCCTATAGCTAGCTATGCTAACATGAGACACAACACTATGATAGAGGCCTATAGATTCTTCAATACCGTGGAGTTGACTCCTTGAATACGCCTGGTACGCTTGAAAGTTGAATTGACTTATCAGGATTCAGCAGGCGGGAAAAACTGTACTCAAGGTCCTGACATCAAATGCATGTTAACAGGCAAGGCATTAAAGTCGGACACCTTCTGTCACTGGATACGAAATTAAACACTCACGAAAAGGAATTTGTAATTAAGAAAACCATATGGATTGTAAATAGGNATGCATGTTAACAGGCAAGGCATTAAAGTCGGACACCTTCTGTCACTGGATACGAAATTAAACACTCACGAAAAGGAATTTGTAATTAAGAAAACCATATGGATTGTAAATAGGGAAAAAATATGTAACATTTTGTGACTCCATGTTTTTTATCTGGCGCCAAAAAATGGGTCGCCCGCGTTCAGCAATTCGCTCATCGATCGCTTTCGCCAGGAAGGAGAGCTGCGTCATCAAGAACAAAATATGCTGTTCTCTTTGAAATTAAACCCAGAATTCTCGACTTAAGTATTACAAGTGGCCAAATTAACTTTTCCATTGTTTTTATTTTTGTTAGCTGCGGATAAAAAGACTATTATCATGTCGTTTCGGTAGGACAACTCGGTTTTGACTGCCGCTCGTACTGCAGGTAACTCAGGCTGGTTTAGACAACCATTCCACCTCCCTTCCCCTCCTTCCACCTCCTTCCCTCTTCCTTCCCCCCGCAACCACCCCCCCTCCCCACATTTATGTCAACGCTGGAAGGAAGGAGGATTATATCCGCGAATCCCAATTAATTAAAAAATTCTAATTTTAAATTCCAAACATGCAAAGTTTTGATTGTTTACCAAGGGGGACAACGATTTCAATTCCCGACCTCTGACGACTAGTTAACCTTGGCGACACAAAATGTAAGCGTTGTTCTTCTTGCCAGTTTTAATTGGTTTACTCAAGCGTGAAAAATATTGGCCCACTATTTGCTCTACAGTCACTTCTTAAAAGGGACACATTTTTTAAAGACATGCACTGTCACTCATATGGCATAAAGGTCGACAAACATTCATTGATGGGTTTCTCTATTGACAAGAAACTGAAAAACGCGAAACACCTGGAAAGCGTTAATATTGATCCCAAAGAAGAAGGTTGTCTATTTGTTATGAAAATGACTTATTCATGTTCAGTATTTGTTCAAATTTTATGAAGTTGGACTGATTGCCATAACATTATAACAATACTGTATAATTTGAATTGCAACAATTATCGGATAAAATGGCACCTTGGTATCAAAACGATTTTATCAGAACAACATTTAAGAATGACGTTTACCCAGCCATAACGATAAACTCCATTTTTTGCATTAAAAGCAAAACTGTTTGTATTCGAGAATTGGGGAAACTTGTTTGTATCAGTTACTGATTTTGCAAGGCTTAAATTTAAATTGTTCACCTCCGC